GATGAATTAAAAATATTAACTTGACGTATCGGGATTTTAGCTGAATGCCACTTCTTCTTCTGACTTTTCTGACGATTACATTTACTGTTCGCTTTTGGCAGCTTAAAGACAATCTCCCACTGTTAAGACATCCATTTGAGAGGCTTCCTAATGTTTGCTCCTGAGAAAGATCGATGCCGCAGTGCCAATGCCCAGACTTCATTCTTCAAACCCAGTTGATTAGGTTTCTTCCTGAGAACAGGCCTGGACACAGCAACCCAGATAAATCCATGACACTGTGGATAGAGAACAATGTGACTCAGCCAGAGCTTGTTGAATGGGAAGTATTACCTGCACCAGCTCCATTGTGGATCTGTGGACACGACAGCGCTCCCACTCATTCACACAACGCCGAGTGCTGGTGCAGAGCTTTCTGGGAGAGAAAAGTTTGGTGATTACTTTTTTAACTTCACTGTTTTTGAATGCTGGAGGGATTTAGTGGAATGAATGGGTAGATTTCGCAATCAGGCACGGATATTAATATATCTGTTTAGATCAGGGGTGCCCAAGTCCAGTCCTCGAGAGCTACCATCCTGTAACTTTTAGAAGTATCCTCACTCTAACAGACCGGGATCAGCTCTAAAGAGGCCTGGTAACAAGCCATTCATTTGATTCAGGTGTGTTGGAGCAGGGATTAATCTGAAAGTTGCAGGATGGTAGCTCTCGAGGACTGGACTAGGGCACCCCTGGTTTAGATCATTTCATGTGAACTATTTTACTTGCAAAAGGGCAAGTTGTCTCCAATTTTTAGGAGTCTTATTTTACAGCTAGCAGTTTGCTGTTGAGAGTAAGATTTTGATACTAGTTAAACAGGTTATGGAGTGAAAAGATACATGGAAAGGAAAAAATGTGACTAAAAAACAGAGGGAGCAAAAAACTCAGTATAGCAGGAACAAAAACAGGCCAACTGGAAACACAGCATCATACAGAGTTTCTGCTAAAAATAAATAAAAAAATAATAGTAAATAAATACATAAATAAATAAGCAATGAGCATTACAGACAGGATATTGCAAATATACTTTTTTTAAAGATCGACTGTGAGTGATTAAAAGGATTTTAATGCTGTTGTCTGGATACATGACCAATGTGTGAGTCACAAAAAGTGAGCTGACTGAACAGCTGAATAAGTGGCTGAACAAACTGATTTTCTGTAGTATCTTCATGGTTGGAAGCGTCTTATTTTATTTGACCATTTTCTGAGTCACATGGAATCTACTCCTAAAATGTGTCTTTTAGGATTACAGTTCTAACAGGAACGAGCTGAGAATTATTATTATTCTGTATAATAATAACAACACTGAGTTAAGCAACTGTAAACAGATGTACTGAATCAGATCATCTCGGAGCACAGCACAGATTTTTCTACTGAAGCATCTCTTGCTCCCTTCCTACAGGATGGTTTTCAGGGACGCCTGCAGTGTGCTTGTCTGCTTACCATTAATTTGTGGGGCACCACTGAGCTACAACCAGAGTCAACGCTGGAAGCAGATTGGTGCAGTTTCAGCATCAGAAGATGTGACGAATACTGACCGGTTTGGATATGTTCAAGTTATTCTTTAATGTTCCCACAAACATGAGCAGACCCAGTGAATTGATTTATTTAAAACAGAACAAAAATGCACGCAGAACATGTTTTTTGTGGGGGGGGTTTTTGTACATGCAAAATCTAAATGTGATTAAAATTTTTATTTACTGTATCTAAAGTTGCTGTTTTGTATTGATCTTGCTCATTTATTTTTATTACATGGTAAAAACGATTGCTGAGATTAGGCCTTTGAAAATAAAACAGAATATGGTAATGTCAGAATCAAAGTTCAGAACTATGTCGATTTGCAGCAAAATAGGTACAAAAATGTAAACTTACTTGAAAATCCCACCCTTAGGAGATTCCTTTCAAATAAGACATACTATGTCCAATTGCCACAAGTCAACATTTTATAAGGTGCTGTTATCTATATATATATATATATATATATATATATATATATATATATATATATATATATACCAGGCAACACTAAGGCAAAGACAACAGGTAAAATAAATTCTCCTACGAGTCCTACATCAAGTCTGTAAGGTTATTTGCGGGAAACAACAGATAAATTAGGGTCAAAGCCAAAGACTTTCGCAGAGGAAGAATGACGGGGAACAAAGTCGAGTTGGACTTGAGTGTGAAAGCTGTCGGAAGCAGAAGTGGGTGAGTAATGACTTAAATAAAACGTCTTGTGAAAAGCAACCTTTAGGAAAATGCTTAAAAATAAACATTAGCATAAAAAGGTACTTAAATGTAAATACTGCAGTTACTGAAGCACATTTGCATGCTTCCATAGAGCTACCTGTGGAATTAACACACATAAAATCAAGTTCACTTATTGAGCTTTGATTTGACTATGATACAGTGTCCTGACGACAAAAAATGATTTGCTTATAACCAGTTACCTTCGTACAAACACTTGATAGTTGCCGTTAATCAGTTTCATTCAACTGGACATGAGGTCGGCTGCAGGCCTTGGTCCTTCTCTTGCATTATTCCAGACTCCGTTTGAGTTTGGGACCTGCAATAAATTGTATTCCGTCCTCTACGGGGTCTGGGTAACGCCTGTCGGGATTACATGTTCCCCTGAAATTGTTGGACCATGACCTCCTGTTGTTTTTCTCAACATCTTTTTGACCGTCGCGCGTTAGCAATGACGAACCCCGGTTCAGCTCCTCCAGGTAAGGGGCGTGTACTTCGGGACAAATTGCGACCGTCGATTGGTCAGTTGCTGGCAAACCCACTGGAATAATTGACAGATGACGTCATGTCGACGTGCAGGGACTTTTTCTGTGAGGTTTTGCTGCAACCTCAAAATGTTTTGATGTTTTGACAAAAAATAACTTTTATCATCTCAATGGTTTAAAAAAATTTGAATTTTTGTATGTTATATATTATCTATTCCGTTCAATGCAACACACAATGGTTGCTAGGATGTTTGAATAGATTTTTCAAATAGTTCTCATCTACAACTATAATCAAGCAGTTAGGAGCATTGATTCCTATATGAATTGAAAACTGAAATTCCTTTTCTCTTGTTTACACAACATATGTGCAGCATAACTGTCTTGCACAGATGGTAACTAGATCTCATTTAAAAATTACTTTATTCTGTACGTGTGATCTTAAGCCCACAAAACAATTCAAAATGGAAACCCCTGCCTGTGGTTATGAATAAATAACCTGAATATGCTTCTGTCAAGATACCAGCATGGATATGTGATTTTATTTTCTTCTAAAGTTAATGAGCCCCTCAGCAGTACATAAGAAACGTACAATTTGAAAGAAAAATAATAATACTGAAAACATTATGTGAAACCTGTCCTGGCACAGACTTTTGTATGTCTTTGGTGTTCACCTGCATACATTTTCTTTTTTTTAAATCATGGATTTGCAGCTGTCTGAGAGCAGCTGGTGTTAGCTGAGCTAACTTAAGCACAGGTAAGCATATATGACATATGAAATGATCCCCTGATCTGACTCTGATTTCACTCATGTGAGCAGAAGTAAGGTGTGCTCTGCAACTACTTCTGCCTGCATTTCCAATCATTCAGTGTCTGTACTTCAAGTCTAAAGCACCTTCTTCTAGATGGATGGTTGGAGGTTGGTAGACTGAGAGTCCATCTATCTCTTTCCAAGCCATTTAAGCTCTCACATTCGCTTTGCAACTGAATGTAATTGTGTAATGGTCTGTTAACACAGTATTGATGAGGTTATGAAGTGGTAATGAGAAGCTCAAAGTAAATGCATGTGTTTACGCAATGGAGCAATAGAGCCCCCCTAAACTGCCTCACCTCCCCACCATCTCTACTGGAAAGCTATTAATATTATTGACTGGGCTTGCTATTATTAACTATAACACGCTCATTTGTTCCTCTGATTACAGCTCTGATTGGTGTTTCTTAAATATTTTTCTAGTGAACCCACCAACCTACTTTTGGGTCAGGAACATCACAGAACGTTGATTAGGGCAGGGATTTTCCAACATTTCTATACCAGTATTTCAATAAATAAATTAAATAAGATGACCATGATATTCTGCAAACTTCTCAATTTACCAACTTTCGATTGGTACACCGATGTGAAAACTTACTAAACCTCATTCCTTACCTTAAAAGCCCTGCCAGAATGAGCTATAAGCTGTAACAATTGCTGTGTTTTTCCTCTTTGACACTTTCTAAATCGTCTAATTCCAACATCTCTGATTCATTTCATCAGTGCGGCAGGTGGCACTTGCTACGATGAAAGCTGCTACAGTTGGACACAAGTGCACACAAACAGACAAATATACTCATCTGATATTGGCCGTAGTAACAGCCAACACAAAGCAGCCTGCGTAATTTAATAGCTGGCAGTGTTTATTTTTTTTCTTTTTTCTTTTTCTTTTTCCAGCTCAGTCAACATGACGGATTTAATTTCCCCTTTCTGTCCTTCACTTTGTGTTTTTCATGTTTCGTTTTATCCTGGAGCAATATTTCCTTTTGTGTGTGCTCAGTGTTCTCCTATCCGCTCTCCTCCCCCGGTATGGCACACGTCTGTCTATCTCTGTGTTTTTTGTCTCAGGCTGGTGTCGCTCTGGATTTCTGTCTGCAAAAATGCTGTTTTTCCCTCCTCATCTCTTTTTGGTACACCTGCCTCACACACACACACCTCATCCACACAAACCCAGTGCCCCCTCACCCCACCTTACCATCCCTGCTCACCTTCCCATCCACCCACTTTGCATGTCCCAGCCTTTTTCAACTCCCCACTGCTACCCAGCCCACCCTCCACATCTCTTGCTCTTGCAAATGTCTTTGCTGCTGAGAAAGTGAGTGGCCAAGTCGTATGCACAGCCTGAAAGCCACTGATGAGGATTTCAACCAGATACGTCAAAACCACAGGGGAAGGAAAAGAGGGAGGAGAGAGAACGATGAACAGAGACGGGGAGGGAGAAAAGAGAGAGCGGGAGAGGGAGAGAGAGCGTACGGAAGGGTATATTGACTCAGAGCTGGTCTGCATGCTCCACAGAGTGTGAGAGACAGAGGATGTGAAAGCAGGCAAGATGGAGCACTGGCACAGATGAAGACTGTCCCTGGGTAGGTGGACGGCTGTCTCCTTGAGTGGGTGCGAGCGTGTCTGGAAGTGTGAGTACACACGTCTGCATGTCTCTAAATGGAAAGAACGGATCTGAAGAAGTTTGCTAAACGGCATGCAGACGTACAGATGTACCAAGTGGCGGGTCCTGGTGTTGTTACATAACAGTGAATGAATGAATGAATGAATGAATGAATGAATGAATGAATGAATGAATGAATGAATGAATGGTGCAGATGTGAGCAGACACTCTGGGGTCCTTGTCTTTGACGAGTCTTCACACGTGCACTCGTGCAACAGAAGTGTTGCTCAGCATAGTCAAAAAGGTGGGGCATGCTGGTAGAGTTTTCACTTGCGTCTGTACGGTGGTGTGTATCTAGAGATGATCTCAGTTAATAGAAACACGCGCAGGGGAGGTTTTTGACAAACTGAGGGAAGAGTGAAGGAACGTGAGGGAGAAAAATGTTGCTGCACTTTCAGTGGTCGTCTGTTTTGTTCTGCTGATTTTTAATGCTTTAAAAATGTGATGTGATAACTTTACAAAAGAAGACACAAATAATATGAGAGAACTGAAACACAGGTGAACAGGTGAAATGAAAAACACGATAAATACATATTTTTCAGTCAATTTTTTTTTTATTATTCTCAATTCAAGTGTGAAATTTACTGTTGTACATAGAAATGGTTTTACCAGCAACAAACTGTAGATGTGAGTCCAAACCTTTCTGTCTGAACTTATGCAATTACACTTTTGTAATATGGATGGAAACTCCATGCTGATACCACAGATATAAGAATTTACATGGGAGACGACTAAATGTTGTAATAACAATAATAATAATTGTATTTTTCAGGGTAAAGATACATCAATTTTAGTGAGTCTTTGAAATGGCAGTTTTTGCTAAGAAGGCATGGTTTAGGAAAATACCATGCATTCTGTAGTTATGTGTCATCAGCACTTCTTCAGCCAAAGAACTGGAAGAAGTTTTTAACATGCTGTGTGTTTTCATTGCCAAGATACAGTTCTAATAATGAGACATACCCACTAATCACTATAAGACAAAAAGATGGCATTACTTTCCATCCGAATAGCATGCAAATGTGGATTAAAAGTGAAAAGATGCCCACATAAAGATGTATAAGTTATGAGCAACACAAATATTTTTCACAAATCTGAGATTTTCTGTTGTCTTTACACCTCCTACATGCCAACTGAGTTTTTTGGTGACAAAAGCTAAGGTCTTAAAAAAGCTTCCCAAAGTGGAAATAAAAAAAACATCTCTATATATATTTATGGGATAACAGTGTGGACTGAATCTCATCCATTTGCCATTGAGTACCTCGGTAGCTTTGGCCATTCCTGCAGCCATTTCATGAGTCAATCACAAGTCAAATCCTTCCCACCAGAATGGCGTTTGTATCTGCTTCGGCGGCAAATGATTTCAGGAATGCTTCTCTGTCCTACTCAAAGGCTACTGTAAGAAAATGTGGTTATGCTTTTGCAATAAATAGTATCTGTTAGCAGTTGGTTGTTTAGATTTATGTTATTTTAACCAGGAGTCCCAATTTATTATGTTTCATGGAATCAAGTGGCCCAAACAAGGACCATATACAGTGGAATGTGAAAAGAAAGAAGTTAAATCAGACCAAACGTCTCTTGTTTTAGGTCAGAATTACCAAACGTTTTTCTATTTGCTAAATTACACATTAATGAAAGAAAGAATATGTCAGAGATGCATTCCTTGATGTCTTCAGTATCAGAAGTTTCTATTTCTTAACTATTTTTGGCAAAGTCAGATGAAATCAACCAGGATGTAGGTAGAGAATTATGGAGCTGCATAAGCCTGGTTCATTCTTTTGGAAAAAAAAATGTCCAGATGCTGAAAGGCACCATGTTTGGTGCTCATGTGAGAATGAGACGGCAAACAAACCTGACGCATTTACGCCAGTTCTGTCAGGAGGGCTGAGCCACAACTCCAGCAAACTAGTGAGAAGCTTGTGGGAGGAGACCCAAAATGTTTGATTTGTGCCGTACAGTTTTAAAAGTATTGCTACCAAATACAGAGGAAGGGTACGCACATTTCTGAAGACATAAATAAATAAATCTCTGATATGTTCTCTCTCTCTTGTTATTGTGACTTTTAACCCTTGGCATCAGAGAATCAGACGGTTGTGAGTTAAATCCAACTTTCCGCAGCCACATTTTAAAGTGCCTTGATCAAGAGACTGATCTTTGATTTGATAGAAATGTGTAAATGCAGAGAAGTGATTAAGACCCTTTGAAACACCTTGAGAAAAAGTGTTTCAATATGTTCAATAAATCAAACTCTTTGAGATAAATAAGTTCAACCATTTATCTCTGTAATTCATGAAAATGCTTTACTACAGAGAATAACAAATAGATACACAAAAGCTTCAATTTATTGTAACAACAATGGAAGGGATAGATAAAAAAAAAAAAATTAAAAAAAACGGTGTTATGGGGCAGTATGAACCCAGTGGCATCTAGATCTTTTGAAACATTGAGGCCTGCTTAATGAACGCCCGCAACAGCTTTCTGTGCTGGAGTCCTTAACAACAGTGGACCGATTTTCTTTCACATCTGTGCCAGTTTGACCTGAATCTGCTTCCCTTAAACTTCCAATCTATGCTCAAGATGATATTTGTCTAAAAGGAAAGTGAAAGGAATTGTCCTGCTTGGTGAGACTTGGTAACCCAGCCCTTGAGAGTATCCAGCCGGCTTCATCGTTCAAAGTTCCCATCACTCTCAGGGTCAGATTTACATAAGCAAGGCTGCTATACGCCGGCGCCACCGACCACCATCAGCAGGCAGGACGACTGAGACAGGCAGTGTTTGAACTGACAGCCCATCAGTCACAGATCAGCAGGAGGAGGCAGGAGCAGCCATTGAGAACCCAAACATGCACAAGGAGAACATGCAGGAAGACCCATGGTCAGGATTTGAACTCAAAACCTTCTTGCTGCCAGCCAGTAGTGCTACCTGCTGTGCCACCATACAGACCTTTATTGGCTTCATTTAGAGGAGAAACACGACTGGTCAGTCAAATATTAATGTCCTGTTTAAACATTGATTTTTAGCTATGGACTTAAAGCAGGGGTTTAAAAACTTTTCAGTACTGTGAAAAAAAAAAAGCATGGCCAACACAGAAATGACATCCAAGGACATCTGATGTTTGCAGGAATTACTTAGACAGCAAATTTTCCCACTCTTTCAATTCATATTAAATAAGCTTTTACCAAATAGCTTCTTGTGTAATATGAAGAATAAAGTTTCAAATAAGGCCTTTTATTTGAGTGCAAACAAACCCGTAAGAACCTCCAGGATGATAAATAAAAAGAAGATAAATGTAAGAAATCCAAAAATGAACTCCAAAAGCGCTAAGCATCACCGGTCCTGCGCTGCCGCTAATGAGCAGTGACGTGATGGACACATGCACCATATTAAAAGAATGACAGACCGCCCACCTCTTAGAGGTGTTGACGTAGTCACTGTTACAGTAAATGACTCCGGTGGTTCATAAAGTGCCTGTTGAATCATTGCGAGGAAAATAGGAGGAGACAGCATTTGGTGTAATGACGGTACAGTCCTGTTACTGTTCTGGTGCTCCATTTAGTGATAAATCTGTAAAAGACTGGTCTTAAATTGTATTATGTAAATACTGCTCTGGGTGGTTTTTTTATTTGCAGATGAGAAGGAGATGAGTAAAAGAGAGCGATGGGAGAGGGATTAAAGTGAAGTGCAGAGGCACATGTGACATCATTCGTTTGTACTTCACAGCAATACATTTGAATATTCACTCAGCGCCCAGACTTGGTGTGCTGACACCATGTGTGAGTCACACTTGAAGTGCCAAAGGTTCTGGCGTATTCTATTTTGGCTTTTGAGATTGAATCTGAGAATGAAAACAGATGCATATTTAGAGTTTTTTTTTTTTTTGTCCTCTCCAAGATGCTTGATATGAGTGTGAATTTCAGCATATTGCTCTACAGATGAGTTGCTACAGCTGTAAAAACCGACAGAAAGCTGTGAATTCACAGGAACATTTTGATCTGGCTACGTCGTCATTCTTTGTTTTGTTTTTGTTTTTTTTCCCCACATCGTTCATTTCCTCTCCTCCTGATCTTCATTTCTAGTCCCGCTTGACAGTCCAGATGAGTCTCTCAAAGCCCCCGCCCCCACCCTCCACCTCCCACCTGGCTATCCCCCCCGCCTCCACGCCCAGCCCTTCCTCGTCCGCCACCTCCCCCTCGTCTACGCCCCACTCGGCAGCTCCTCCTCCGCCCTCGCCCGTCAAGATCTCTATGCAGGAGCATTTTGCCATCAATGTGTGCCCGGGGCCCATCCTCCCCATCCCACAGATCTCAGACTTCTTTCCCCGTTTTCACGACTACCCCTGCACTCCGCCGCCGCCCAGGGAGAAGAAGATCCTGAAGGAGGAGACATTCAACGGAGAGACGGGTGGAGGGTTCAAGGATGGAGAGAGGAGAGGGGAGAACGACGGAGACAGGGAGGAGGTGTTCGACTCGGATGACGATGACAGTGAGTTGTCATCATCTCAAAATCAGTCTGCCAATCAATCAGTGGATGAATTCTTCAGAAAACAGGAATGTTTCTGTAAATTTCACGATTACAATTCACTTAACATCAGTCAAACATAATTAGATTTCAACTGAACATGATAAAATTATTGAGATCTAGTACTACAAACAAAAGTCATGGTAGATTATTGATCTACCATGACATTCTCTTAGCAAAACAAATTTAACAGGACAAAAAAATCTCAAATTATACCTCACAACAGCAGAATACAGAGAAAAAATGCTCAGAGTTACTGCAACTGACTGAAGATCTAACTTATCAAGCATTTATTGGTCCATCAGGAGCCTAACCAAATTGGATGAAAGGAAGGCTGAATAAAAGTTTTTTTTAAGAAAAGTGGTGCTCAAGTGCAATTTTGAAATCCCAAAAATCTTGTGAGAACTTTACAAAAAAAAAAAAAAGACTGTACAAAGTATATGGTTACAAACAAAAACATTCATTAGAAACTAATCTCATGATGGATCTGGTACCTTGGATAAAGGTTCCTCTCTCAGCAGTGTTTCCTTTTTGGGGAGGAATTGTTCATGAGGTGTTGATTAGCCGATCACAGAGGGATATGTGGCAAACGTACATCCTAAACAAAACAGTTCTTAAAAATGAAGGATCAAATCAGGAATTACAACAATACTACAGCCTCCGAGGATAAAACGTGTGCTGAATGTTTAAAACTCTTTCATCTGAAAGTTAAAACAGGGCGACTTTTTTCAGCACTGGACTGAATGTGCTGCTGTTTGCTCTACTTCAATTTGTGCGTCTTTCTTTTGAACGTAAACATGGAGTTTTTGTGGAGTGAGGCACTTTTTTCTGCACTCTTTGTCACTCCCACTTTATGTGACAATGATTTATTACACAAGGTTGCAGAGGAGGGACTCTAGTTTCTGCTCACTCACAAACAGTAATCAGACAAGACAGATCAATTCATATAAGGCAGTGTTATGTTTTTAAGAAGCCATCTGCTGCAAACATGACTCAGAGCTTTTCGAGTTTGCTTCTGTGTGACTGACCGTGTCTGCGCTTCCGACTGACAGTAATTGGAGTGTTTTTGTTGTGTTTTCCAGCGTACCTGGGAACGCTGGAGTTCAGCCTGCTCTTTGATCAAGAGAACAACTGCCTTCACTGCACCATCCACAAGGCAAAGGTACGCTCGGTGTTCAATATGCTCTTCATATAAACAGATCGTCGGAGCGTGTGCGTAATCATCCTTGAAAGCCCATTGAAAAACAGCTCTTTTGCATTTGAGCGAGACGTCACGCCGCTGTCTCGCAGCCTTTATGGGGAAACGTTTCCACCACACGCGGCGTCAGCTCGTCAGCCCGACACAACAGGGAAAGGTTGGGTAATGTGGCTAGGTTGCTCATGCAGAGACACAAGGACACGAGCCGTCCACAAGCTACATGCTTCATGCTGTCACATGATGTTAATTATGTAAATCTTGACTGGAGAGTTCCTTCAAGGCGAGTGGAAAACACAAGCGGAGAAAGAAAGAGCCCGGAGGCAAAAGGAGGAACGAGTCCATTTGGAGTGGTCGGCCGTATTTGCCGTCTTATGCTGACCCTGTCACTTGTGTGAGGAGTCTTTAGGGGCACAGTGATGTCACCTTTGATCTTACATGTGCATGTGTCTGTGTGTGCCTGTGTCCACAGGGTCTGAAAGCAATGGACTCCAACGGGCTGGCAGATCCATACGTCAAGCTCCATCTTCTCCCAGGAGCCAGCAAGGTCACTGCTCCAACCTTACCTCAACAGCAATTAATGTGACATGATTCCAAACTGGGCCATCCAGTACACCCGTGCTCAGAGTCACATCCGAAGCAAACAGTTCATTTATACTGAATCATTTGCAATCAACAATCCAACTGTAAATTAGCTTTTTGTTATTGTTTTAGCAATGAATAATTAAAGACAGCAAATAGAAGGGCTGGTGTAATTAAAAACCCCGAGCTCTTTCAGTCAGTTATTACAGTCATGTTAAATAATCACACTTCTGTTTGTTTTGCTCACCTGGTTTTCGTTTCACAAATGCAAATGCAATTATCTAATTAACAGATAATCATTGCAGACTGACTTGTCCTTTAAATGTCAGCAATAAACAGCAAATGATAATGAGGATCGGTCAACCGTAGAAATAAAATACGCAAATTACAAAACTTGTTCACGGATCACGTTTGCACCTTACAGAATTACTTTAAGTTTTGGAAGTGGGGTTTTGTAAAGTGAGCTTATTGGGGAAGAAATTAAATCCTCAGAGAGGAGTAGTTTTACATAAATTCACTTCAAAATGACAAAACAAATCTTGTATCCTTGTGATTAAAGAATACAACACGTTCACTCGGCTGTAACTTAAAGCAGAGGCTAAGAGAGTGGTGGTTATTTCATCTCGTTACAGTTGATTTTTACCTGACATTATTAGGTATGAAATGGAGTTGGAATTTAATTGGATAAATCATCAATCATGCACCAATGCAGATCAGCCAGTGAGACATTTCATACTAATTCGAAAACTTTTAGCAGTTTTCTATAATTCTTTTATGGTTTTCTGTCAGAAATAGATAATTGCTTAATCTTATCAGTGATTCTTGAGAATAGGGACAAAACAGGTCCTATGGATAAAGCATGAAATTTGAATAAAATATACACAAAATAT